ATCCAATATGGCCGCCGTTTCCATAGCAATCGATTCACAATATACTTTTTGAACTATTGATTTAAAATCCCCAATAACACACGATATCCCACAGCAAATATCGACACTCTAGGCCTTGTCATAGCCAAAATAGACCTCAGGTGCCCCACCAGTCCTTAATAATAAATCATTAGAATCTTTAAAGTTCATCATATCACACCACAGCAGCAAACTCTCTGCTTTTTAAAATATATATTATTACCTAAGCAGACCCTAGAATACTCAGAAACATTCTCAGCTTCCCCTGAAGCATACAGTGCAAGCAGCCAATTAAGTGGTCAGACCCTAACAAACTGACAAGATCTTTCACTGTACTCATTCCTATCAGGGTGAAGTGAGAAAAATTTGTGTGAAATGCCTCTCCTAAGAACATGACATCCAGCCCAGGATGGGGTTCAGTCCTATAAACTATAACCTTTCAAAAACAAATCCAACAGCATTACTACCAACACCAACTAAGATTTAAAGTTATACTGAATATAATACAAATTTTCGATGTGTGGAAGAAAATACATACCAAGACAGCTAAAACATACAGCCATACAACCAAAACCACAAAGAATGAACAAAAACACAGGAGAGATGTTAATGTGAAATTTACTCAAATGCTTTTGTTCATTGTAGGCTACATATTGCCTCCATGTAGAGCCTTTTCTTTTAATCCAATTTTTCAACATCACCTTCAGTTAAAACAGTGCATCCACGTTAAATAAATACTAGCCAATTATGTCAAGATCGAGATGAACAATATTATGTAAGAAATTAATCTCATAGATCTGATTAGCAGGATGATGCCATTATACATCAGGCAAAGCAGATTCTGAATATAATGAGAGAATGGTTTGTCATATTTCATGCATAACAAACCACAGTAAATGGATAAAATGAACATATTTTTATTTTATTTTAAAAGGTCTTTATACATTTGAACAGATGAAGTCCAAAAGCTAATTGAAGAATAAAAGCAAAAAGGAACTAATGAGAAAGGAAGACATCAGAACGAAACATGAATTAATCAAACCAGTGACCATTCGTGACACATTTTAAAAAATTCCTGATTGTATTTTTGTACCTTCCAAAATAAGCCAAAAAAATAAACGTCACCAACAAAATGGACATAGATACTGATCTTTCGAGCAGCACTCTACAACGAAATGAGACACAGGAGAAATTTAAGCAATACCTGATTGTTTGCTCTTGTATTATTTTTTTTTATATAGTAGAGGGATTTACAGCGCTCGCAACTGCATAAGGTCATATGAGCGCGTGGGACACACCTAATACTTTTAGTGGGAAGGAAATTTTGAATTTTGCCCGGGTGGCGGCCGAAGCCTACTCTTATCGATTATAGACCACCAGGGCATCTTTAACCTGTGCAACTTGCACACGGGCCCTCCAAGATTTTTCGCCCTTGTCTGAGAAGGCTAGGTGTAGATCTTTCCTACCAGAAGATCAGAGGTGTGGCAGAAAGACAGCTGTAAAGAGGAGTCAAGGAGTAGCAGTAGAAAGGCTGCAGAAAGAGTCAGGAGCCCAGAGGAGGGGGCAAAGGAGGTGAGGGGGTGGGGGCAGAAAGAGGAGACGAAAGCAGACGACAAAATATTGCTAGAGAGCAGGAAAGGAGGTGAAAGGAGACAATTTTTAGAGAAGAAAATTTTTTGGTCGCTACCCGGATTCGAACCCGGGACCTTTGAATGAGAGGCCAACACCTTAACCTCTAGGCCATGAGAGCCCCCGTTTATTCTTTTGTTCTGCTTTTGTTTGTTGTTTTTTTTTTTCTTAAGTGTTGGTGCTTTTATGCCCTCTAAACACAATTTAGATCCTTTAGGAGATGGCTCTCAACCCTGAATACCAGGACAAACCTAGGATGACTTTCTCTTTTGTGAATTCAGCAAAAGTCAGACCTACTAATACAGAAGCATCTTCCAATGCAAGCAGAAACTTCGTTGGGTTTTTCTTGTGTGAGTGAACAGTCAGTGTACAGTCGAACTTGCTGTAACTCTAAAGGCCATCAGTCCAAATCAATCATCTGTAAAAATGATTCCCTCCTATTTTCCCCTGTGTTCATTTCTTTTTCTTTTCTATTTCATAATGACACTGTTCAAGACATTCACCTGTCTGAGACCAACATTTTTGTTCTTGACAATGGATGGCCATCTAGGACAACTTCAACTGTATTTCTTCTTCTATAATATCATGATAATTAAGAATTGAATAGTAAGTAGGCCTATAGCACTATAGGGCTACTAGGGGTTCTCGAAGAAATTAAATCGATGTGACAAAATCTTCAAAAGAAAATAAAGATTGAAATTCAAAACAGGATGCACTCGTTCGCAAAAACGTCAAATGTTCCACCTCAAGAGCACATAGGCTCTCCTCCATAGGGCATTCATGGAAACACGCTAACTTACAACTGAAATCACAAGACATAACTCTTTTTCCTTACACTCCTGACTTCTGTTCAAAAGTAATAAATTATTGTCAAGAAAAATCTTAACCCAGCATCAAAATCCAAAAAACTAGAGCAAAAAACCCCCAAATAATGACATTCCAGTGCAAGAGAAATACAGTCAAAAATGCACATATACATGAAAGAATCAAGAGGAAAAAAAAAATCACAATGAAAACTAAGTCTAAGCTTTAAAAAATCTTAACATGAAACTTATGGCACAGACACAATCAAGGCTTTTTTTGACATGTCAATAGCAAACATTTTTGCGACACCTGGGTGTTATATTTCTTCTATATCCACTTTAGTATGAAGAATGCAATGCTCTTTGGTATACACTGACCACTTTTCAACTAAAATGGAAAATCTTTTGAGTATTTGTCTCAAAATTCAAATTTATGATTTACAATTTTCTCTGTGGGTCTAATCAGCACTGGTCAGAAAAGTGTGCCACTGTAGAACTGAAAAAGGGTCGAAATAACAACAAATGGTTTATCCTTTCATTTTTGTGGAGTGGCCCTAAGGTGAAAAAAAAAAAAAAAAAAAGAAAACCCCTTTAAATTTACTTTAAACAAAAAAAAGAAAAGAAACCTGTGAGACGCAGGAACTAGATCTAGTAGTATTTACATGTTTATATGAAAATTCTGATAATGTATCCTGAGATCAGTATCATAGCAATAACATACTAACACGACCTCAGATCCTTTCTATGAGCAGGAAGGAGCCCGAAATAGACAAAACAGGTCAGGTCAACCTTGAGCCTAAAGTAGTTTGACTTGAACTCACTCCCTTCTGAATTTCTTTCCATTAAAAAAAAAATTGTGTAACGGCACGGAGGAAACAGGCCGTCGTCAATTTTGGGGCATATGGAGTTATTGGTATCATCTTAAAACTTATTTGTGTTGCTTTCAATGAAAAACGTATGCTTCTATCTTCAACAGAAGTTGAGATATTTTGAATTGAAATAGATAGGGGTCACCTGGTTTCAGAGGAAAAATTAGGAAGAAAATGGCTGCCAAAGCTGGGTGACTTCCAAAGCTTGAGAGTCCTTGGAAACTGTATATTTAGTTCTTGCGTCTTTAATCAACTTTTTTGGAGTAGAAGTCACACAGCAAATTGTTTTTAAAAGGGCATAAAAACAACCGAGCCAAATATTTAACATTTTATCAAAATTGCCAAACGGGAAGAAAAACGCTGTTTTCTTCAATTTCATTATTTCGACGAGCACTTGATTTCACCATGATGCCCAACAATCATGTCTGAATTCAATGTGCTCTTTTAAAAGATGATAAAGTGCTAACTGAAAATGTTTAAACATTTATGTAGGTTGTCTGAAAGCTGTTTCTGCAAATTTTCAACTTCAATACTTATATATGATATATATATATATGCTCTCATCCTTTGTAAAAACAATCTGCACCAGGTTCTCCCATGTTATTTGAACTATGTAGATTTAAAATATAGCAAGAAATCAATTTCCAAAACTAGAGTGGAATGGGCTCACTTATTAAGTGTATATTACAACCCCCCCCCAAAAACAGGACTAGAGGAAAAAGGAGAAAACCCGAAAACAAAATGCTCTACCTACTAATGGAATGTGAACACAGGACGTTTCGTTGACATGTAAAACCTCAAAAAACAAAAATAACCACCCCCCAAAAATATGAAAACCGACTTTGAAATTTCCACACATTGACTGTATAAATTGTTTCCACCATTTTCACACACACATGCAAAACACACAAAATTCCTGTACATGATACAATGCTAAAAAATACAATTTGTAGTGTTTATTATCAGAACAACTCCAAAGTCACAGATGTGATAATGACGACTAATTCGTTGCTCCACTAACCAAAACTTGTTTCTTACTTAAAGAATAAATCAACACTAAGTTACTAATTATAGTACAAATTTTCAAAAGTCAAAAATGTTTGAGGAATAAATGTTATTTCCTGGTAAATCAGATTTATAAAGATCAGCTGTGCTGCATTTTGTAGGTAGATTCTAAATCTGTGTAAGGTGAATTTCTTAATCTAATATTTTATTTCACTTTTAAAGATTTTTACAATCTTTAGAACAAGAAAGTTGCAATCAGTACAAATTTAAACAAAAATACTTACCATATGAATTCAACCTACTTTTCATAAATCATACAGTGTATACAAAGTAAATACCAGTAGTCCTTCAGATATTATGGATTCTATTGTCAAAGACTAGTAGTTTAATAAAATATTACCTCTACATAGCAGCAAAACAATCTTTAAATCCATGGCACACTCACATACAGACACACTGTCACTAATTATATTTCCAAAAATAAATACAAACAAGACGCTCTGTAAACAGATTCCAGAAAAGACTTGGAAAATGTCCAACCATTTCATCCACAGCTATTGTATTACTCCAGTCATTAGATTATCCAAAAACAAGTACACAGACATCCAACAATTTTACACCTGCAACATCTTCCATTCTCACTGACCCATGAATTCCACAAATGCAATGGTAAAAGTCAGTCTGCTTTGAACTGTGGAACAGGTCGAGGTTCCTCACTCCACGCGACATATATGAACAGGCCAAGAATTACGTGAACCACAGCAATCGCAACAATGGCTGCATAGAAATAGCTGCTTTGGGCTGCTACTCCCATGATACCTGCAAGATAAGATTAGATAAGATGAGGTTAATCTTTATTGTCCAAACATTGCCACTGGTACGCTGGCATAGTGTTTCACCACACATACACACACACTCTTTCACACCCTCTCTTTCATACACATCCCCACATAACATGCTTACATTCACACACACACCCAGTTACACACACACACACACATACATATATATATATATATATATATATATATTTATATATATATATATATATATATATATAAAATATATATATATATTATATATACAGTCGAACCACCATTACAAACGGACACTTTCCATTTCCCCCCTTGCATTTTTACTATACAACTGTGTAAAACGGTCACCTGTCCAAAGCAGCAGCGGCCACCTTATTTTATAAACCCATGGTCAAATTTACCAGCCTTCAGCGGCCAGGCGTGGTCACTCATAGCCCGACACTTTGTCATAAATTTTGAATCGGCCCCTCACGCTGTGGACGAGCCGTCATAATTCATTATCTTGTCGTTATTTTAGTCCTCCAATGAATGTTTACCCAAGTTGACCAATAGGTACGCCTAACAATGAATTTTCAACTGCTGGTGAGGGAAGCGTGATCCGTCATAACGTATAAGCTCCCTCCAAAACTCATGCACAAAATGACTGATCATTGTTTTGTTTACCTAATCTATAACAAAGTAACAATGGACATTGACGTGAAGTGCAACAGAAGCGTCTCTTGTTCTCCGAGTGGTGGCGACCCGTGTGTTTGTTTTACCTTGTAACTTGGTCTTCATCGCCTTTCTTACATAATATTTATTTTATTTTATTTTAGCAATAGAAAGAAAGCCAACCAAAAAGAACCAAACCACAACAACAACAAAAAACCCTTCTTTACACCCCCACCCACCTCCCTTTTTTTTTCAAAAGAAAACAAAACCCCCCTTGAATTAGCCTTATGGCAGTTTAAAGCCTGTGATCAGCCCCGGTTTGGACCTAATTAGAGAATGATTTGATTTCTTCATTTTGATCAGTTCTGACTAAGACAGCCACCTGTGTTATACGGCAACTTTTCTCTCTAACAATGGGTGGCTGTTTTACACAAATATATATTATAATTATATAGATCTATATATAATATAGGAAATGAACAATTGTTGACAATAATTATGACAACAGTCTGTACAGGATTGATGCTGAAATTGCTTCCAGGACAAGCAAAGCAAGCTATGCATTTGGTAGACAGTGAAGTAGAGTTCGGAACATCTCTGGTATACGCGAGTCAAAACTCAGTGCATAGTGCTGTTGTATTACCAAACTTATATATGGACTTGAGTTCCGCATATGGAACAAAACACATGCTAACAAATTCAACAGGTCTCATCTCTCTTGTCTGAGACTTGAGAGGGCGAAATCCTTTAGTATCTTCTGTGATATGAAGAAAATGCAGCTTAGACGGGTGGGACATTTGGTCCAAATGCTAAACACACTGCTCCCCAAGAGTATATTTTAAAACTAAGAATTGATATTTGGAAGGTGGAACACTAATGCTGTCCCAAAAAAAAAAAAGATATAAAAACACTGAGGAATTTCCTGAAAGATTGCTACATTTTTGTGGATGAGTGAGAAACCCTCTCTCTTGACTGATCACAGAGGCATAAAACAGAAGTGACATGTGGCAGCAAAGTTTTGGAGAAAAACAGAGTTAGTAAGGCAGAGGCAGAGAGGCAGCCAGGAAAGCAAGAAAATCAAGACAGTCAAATCCTGACAATGACCCTGTCCCGGCAAACCATATTTGCTCGGTTTGTGGAAAAATCTAAAAAAAGAATAATGCTTGAAAGTCACAGGCGAAGCCGTAAGAAAGTTTTTAAACAAAAAAACCAAAAAAAACAAACAAAATTTAGGCAGACAATCATACTTCCTTAGGAAATGAGATAGCACTGCTCTCTGCTGCGAGTTGTGGCATTTGTGATCATTACAGCTTGCTTGCTATTATTACTTTTACTGTTTTTACCATGTTAGTAGCTAGCAAGGTCTACAACTTCTTTTCCTCCTTGGATGTTACAGGTTATCATCTGTTCATGATGGATAAACTATTATAATCATAAACAGTATACATAATTAACTATGTGACATACCCAGCGCTTTCAAAGAAATAGTTGTGGAATTCAGGCATTATTAATAATGTAATTGTTGCTTTTACAACAAAAATGGGTAAATTAAGAATTCTTTAATCCTCCCATTAAAAAAAAGACTGAGTAATTCATTTTCTCGAAAAACAACAATATAATACAGTCCAACCTGCTCTAGCTGCCACCTGAAAAAGACCTGTACAAACGGCAACTTCCCATCCCCCCCTCCCCCTTGCATAAAAATAAAAAATGACACTGCATAGGATGGCTACCTCTCTAAAACAACCACTTTTCACCTTGACAATGGGTGGCCATCTTAGATCATTTCGACTGTAAGCGTAGTAGAGACAACAATTGTAAACATCTACTGAAAAGGGAGGTCAAGGATGTGAAGAGCAGCTGCAGTCCTAGTCGTACAATATTCAAACACAATCAAACATTTAAAATAAAAGTAATTCAGAAAGCAGGATCACCCACCTGAATTTAATTTGTGCTGGGACTTGTGAACCCCAAAAACCCCCAACTTTATGGCCAATTGAAGTTGTGCACCAAAATCCCCAACAAAGCAGTCAAGCTCAATGCTAACTGAGTTTTTAAAAAACATTAACCGTACCATTTCAAATTTTCTTTTCAATGACAGTCAAATTATTCCAACACTCACTCACCTTCAAAAATAACCGATTTACTGAAAAAGTAAGAAAAGATGGGTAGAACCACCATCATAATGGTGAAGACAAGCATTGCCTTCATGGCAGACCCTTCACTTCTTTGAACCATGATGTCTGTCTTGCTTCTGGGTGGGGATTAGTCCTGAAAAACTATTTTAAAAAAGGAAAAAGTAAATAGATATCAAACAGTTCTCTATTTGTTCCAAGTTTTACTCCTTACATGACTCAAGTCTTGCAGGAGCAAGGCAAAATGATGATTTTAAAGATATTATATCATATACAAAATAATCATTGGCCAGCAACATGGTGAAACTTTTCATGAGGAGAGAACTCCTACTACTTTTAAAATATCAATTCTTGCACAAACCACCAAAGTAGTACCTCAGATAATTTTCATGGAAAAATGAAAATTGAAACCTGCTGTTCAAACAATCAATGATATGTGCCCTTGTAGAGCAGCAAGAAAAGGTGACACCGGTATTTTAAAAGTACTAGAGGCACCCTGTTCCAAAACTTTAAAACAATATTTGAATTTCTAAAAGGCTTTAAATTAAACTTCCAACAGAAGACAATAATATCATCCCAATTTCAAAATGCAAAAATCTTCTGATACATTTCAGAAGTCAGTAGTAGTAGAACTGGTGCTGCTAGTTGTAGTAGTGGTAGTAGTAGTAGTAATCAGTTCTGACGGGAATTGTTTTTTAACGCAAATACAAAACGTTTATTTCTAATGTCCACTACTAAAATAACCACACACTGTATCAGACTGCAGGTGAGAGCAGAGACTGGTATTATATTGCAATGCTAATTTATTGCTTGCACATGTAGTTGCTACTTTTGTAATGTCTGAAAAAGCAAGTGAGCTGAGCCTGCATTGCTGATTTTTCTTGTGGGCACAGGAAAGCTCACTTGCTCGTTCAGGATGTCACATTGTGGTCTGAAGAGCACATATTGTGAGTTGAATGCAAGAAAAAATATTGTAGGAACTGGTCGATTCAATCATTCCGATATCCAAAGTTCACACCCAGTCTGCTTACTTGAGGGGTAATGAGTAATGAATCAAGTAGGCTTCGAGGCCTACGAGACCTTGCCATGACAGAGCCAGCCCCTCGGTATACCTTACCTAGTGACTAGTGTGCAACACAGCCATTCCTTGTCTATGAATTGTGTCCCACAATTGCGGCTTTGTGCCCAATCATTCTACTTTGGGCCTTGGGTTTATGGTAACTGACAGTTGAATCATTTAGATTTATTTGTGTTCTGTTTCACTTTATTTTTGTTGTGTTAAAGTTAATGTTTGTTGCTTTTTAGAAGGGGGCGGTGGGTTCACTCTTTTATCATCTCAAATTTTCATTTGTGGATGTGATATTTCCAAGGAATGTTGTTGTGTTTTTCGACATTTGTGGGAATTGGATGTCGCAACTCTTGAGATTTAAGCTTAATTTTTGTGTTGCTGACTCCTATGTTTACATCAATTCTTTTATCATTTGAATTCGATAACACATCTACCGTGACATATGATATGTTTCACAAAATTCTTTGGAAAGAGGAAAATGTGAAATCTGCAGTGACAATTTTGGCCAGCTCTATTCGGACTCGAGTTCGATTAGATTCTTTATCTATTCAGACTCAAGTCCGAATATGGGTTTTATCTATTCGGACTCGGGTCCGAAAAAAAAATGTTTCATCTAGATTCGGACTCAGCTTCTAAGTGAGTCATGTGAGTGTAAGGAGGTTGCATTTAATATAACTGTCGTCGGGGGATTTTACGTAAAACCAGAATTAGAAAACTAGAATTACCTACTAGGACTGTGTAACTGTGTCAAAAGTCAAAAGACTGCATTCTCATTGCCCAAAGGCAGTGTCTAAGTGCAAGGTAACCGACAACTCAGCGTCTTTTCACCACCACTGCAGCATCATCATTACTTCCATCCCCTTTTGTCTTTCTAAATGTTTAAGTTCATTTTGCTGAATGTTATAGTTTTTCATGTAAATATTTCTTTAAAAATCACATCGCACAAAACCAACAGCTGTGGCCTCTTCCCCCCCAGCAAGCCGAGAGTGCTTGATCGCTGTACTACGCACATTCTCATTGGTCGACATAATTAACTTTGCTCCCGGCAAGATCAACTCAAACTGGGTTGTTCTGTTCACACTAGTAATGTATTGAGGGCCAGTTTTGATAGATCTAGTAACTGGATAAGTTCACGTCTCGACTGTTATCAAAATTGAAACTTTTTTCATGACATGAATGCAGAAATATTTAGGAACAAGGGACAGAAGTCGGAACGGACGTCATGCTGGACTCAATTCAGAGTCTGAATAGTCACTTCGGACAATTTTACAACCTCATGCCATTGGTCATCAAGGACTAGGTTGACCACTCTTTGCTCCGCATAAAAATAAAAAAACCCACCCACAGTTCACGACTCGCGTTAGTTCATGCCAGAGTGGGGGGGGTTTACACTATTTCACCGCGACTGACGGCCTGACCAAGTCACAGTGACATGATCAATGATCATTATTAGAGGTGTGCGAGTAACGAGCCATTGCCAAAACGTGGGGAAAAACACACACATCTCACATTAGTGTGCATAAAATGTGATGCATTAGTATTTATTCCTCCAAAACGTATACACACGTCAAATATAGGATGTAGAACCTGCATTAGCAGTTACAGACCCCTTGCCAGCTTTGCAATCTTGAGTTTGTAAATTTTGTGCCAAAAATGTTCGTTTTTTAGTGATTCCTGGAGTGTCATTTTGAGCACACCAATGCAAACTTCAAAGAATGGCCAAAATCTAGTATTTTTGGGTGTGTGTTTTTTACGTGTGCTTCGATCCTATGTTATTTGTCATTGAGAAAGGTTAACTTGCTCAAGAAATCGGTTTATTTGTTTGCAAATAGACGAACAATTCGGGTTACTTGTGCGTCTGTCGTGTCGTCACGGACTAGGTGTTTCTGAAAACACCATTATTTTTCAGTAGAATCACCGTAGCTGGTTAAATCTCTTTGCCTATCGTCGTTTATTCAATACTTCAAAAGCCGTGATGCGCGAAAGGAACATCGGGTTCCTAGATCTACGATTTCGGTCGGCTGTTTAACATTCGCCGTTATTGTCGTCAATTTGTGACGTGCCAGAAGTCCGAATTTCGCCCACTTTTGTTTTGAACGGGTCATCAAAAGTGCCCGGATATAATTGTTTTCTTGAGTGACTTCCCCTTACCCGCGTCCCCAGAACAACGGAAGCAACGGGGGAAACAGAAAAACGAAAGTAGTCATTGCCTTCAGCGTCCGGTGACGCACAAGAATTTTGCGTTGAAGGTGACGTACTGGGCTGTTTTGCGTGTTATTAGGCTACTCTGTTGAATATTTTAGTGAAATTGCGGTGTTTACACTGGATTCCTGGAACAAGAGTGTGATGTGTGAACAATTTTAAAAAATTAATAAAAAAATCACAGAAAAATGACACAAAGTTAAAACTTGCACAATTTGTACAGTATACCTGTCTATCCCAACTAGATTTTGAAAAAAGAATTGAAACTAAGGGTGATTTTACAAAGTTATTGGTGTTTAAATTCAAATAACACTGAAAAAGGAATCTGATTCGATAGAAACACATCTTGGAGAACGTAGTTCGATAAAATCAAGGTTGTGAACTGAGATCGACCAAAGTTATATCGTCTTGTAGGGGGAAAGCTGAGCTTTAAAATGGTGGGCCATATGACGATATCACATCTTTTAAATCTGGAGATATCAGGGTGGGAACAACACCATAATTTGGAGGAAATGCATTGTACGCGGGCAGGCGGGGGCGCGCCGCTGGCGTCAGGGTAGTGAGCATGGTTGACCGTTGATTTAATGACCAACACATGGGTGGCACTGACCGCTGGCATGGAGCAACTAAAGGAGCGGTTTCCGGAAGAGTTGAACAGCCATAGGGTGTCCATTGGCCCAATCGATTCGGTTTGGTTTGGTAGGTGGGGCTGCCCAGATTGAAGGTGCAAAGCAACCATCCTGGCATACCAATCGCCTGACTCGCAGCCTAAAAAAAACGAGGCCGCAAATCGGGCGATCGATCAGCCATCAGTTTGCTAAGTGTAATATATATATCTTGGGAGAGACGCTGTTCGCCTAGCCATTAACTTTCACAGGCTTTATGGCCTAACGAGGCCTTGCCATGACAGTGCCAGCCCTTCGGTATAAACTAGACTCTAGCCTTTCCGTTTCCTGTTTCCATGGTCCCCATGCTCTACAACTCCAACAAGATCTAGATCTAGATTCTAGCACTGCTGGCAGGATCTGGTGTACGGGGTGCCCACTACGGCTGGATCGGGCCGATCGCCCAACTCGATCACTTGAAACTGAAAACTAACACGTTTGTTTTTGAGGAGATCGAGTCGGGCTATCGGCAGATCCCATCCATAGTGAGTAGTGGGTACCCCGTATCAGTATGCCGTATCTGGCTTACTTCAGCAGAGACTACTGTCGGAGTATATAAAGGAGGAGGAGGAGGAAGAGGACGAGGAGGAGGTGCCAGTCTAGGGCCTTCTAGATCTAGACCCTGCGAACAGACACTAGGTCTACTGAACTTTGTCGTTGGTTGTGCTTGTCTCTTCAGGACTCCGACTCCATGGAAAGTGAGTCACTCAGTCACGAGAGAATATTTGTTGACCAGTGTGAGTGTGAGCGTGTGAGTTGAAGTTGAAGGCCAAGACAATACTCTCCTAAGCCTAAGCGTATATCTACCTGGCTAAAAAATTTCCGTCTTCAGACTTTCAGTAGCCTACTTTCCTTGGACGCTCTAAAGTAAATTTTGGAGAACAATAAATGACGGTGTAAGCTTCACATTCGTCAATTGAATAGAGTCGGTAGTCGGTTCCAGCAAGTCAGATGCTCTTGTTTTGATGGTCTTCAGCTTCAGAAATCAAAAAGGGCAACAAAGTAGTGATGTAAAAAGATAGATTGATAGACTATTCCAACTGCACCATGGATCCAAACATTTACAAAAATACATGTACACCTGTTGCTGCTTTTTTTCTAGTTAAGTTAACAAAAACTACAATATAAGATATTAACATATCAGTTTTTTTTTAAAGGTCAAATATGGGTGAAATCAAATGTCATGCCATAATAATTATCACAATTCTCTATTTTTACGAAAAACAAAAGTTATTATGTGGTTGTAGTTTTATATTATTTATAGCGTCAAAATGGCAGCCTCCATGAAGAGCGGAGGCTCGGATCAGTTACTGTCCATAGTCAGACCCAGTTGGTCTGAAATTTGCAAATCTATTTCAGTATCCTCAGGCCCTGATGCGGTAGCCTCAATATTTGAACTGGCTAAACAAGCTCTTTGGTCGAGGAATAATGTCAACTCAGTCATTTTGTTTGCAACTGCTCTTCAAAGGATCAAACAACGCAGCAGACTCACTACCAGTGGAACTTTTGCTTCGTCTTCGACGTCTTCCAGATCTAGATCTAGATCTAGATCTATTACTCACCCTCATTCTATCAATGACATTGCTGACAGAAGTGAGCGTTCATCACTTGTTGTAGTCACCTGTGATGATTTTTTTACCCACTATTTTGAATATTTATGTATCGCTTTGGATGCTATAGGCAGCCAAACTGAAGATGATACAGAGGCTGCAAGTAAAGGTGAACTGGCAGAGGCAATCCAAATCATTGTTGCTTGTGTTATGGAGCTGAAATCCAAAGTTGTGAATAATTCTGCTTTGAACGAAGTCAGGGTAAAGGTTTTTACTAGCGCTGCTTCGGTACTCTTCAGGTGAGTATTCTATTAGGATTCCCATTGACTGATAGTTCTTTCGTAAAAGTCTGCGACTCAAGATAGGGAGAAAGTGAACTTGATTTGAGATTCCTGTTAGGAGGAGGATTGAATTAAAGGTTCAACATGAAACACTCCAGAATGATACAGTTAAATAGTTGTTTATTAAATTGAAACTTTCCTCCTTACTTTTTGTAGAGTTTATTAGTGTAGTGACAAAACTTCTCAGGGCACTGACTTGATATCCTACAAACTATCTCGATCCTTGCTCAGAGCCAAGAATTTTTACAGGATCATTTGTTCCTGCTCACAACATGTAGGGACTTATAAGATACTGAAGTGGAGGAAGGAATTCTGTAAAGAGCGACCACCCCATTATATTACGCATAAAACCTGCTGATTATGCATCAACGTTTCTCTTTAAAATTTCATTTGGGGGGGGGGGGGAGTTGCATACTCTTTAAAACATATATGTTGTGTGCGTGTGGCAAGCATCATTTTCCCCCATCTCTCTACCGAAGCCGATTCAATGATTTGTCGACACACCCATGAACGGCATTGTGAATGTCAGAAGCAGTCTACCTACTTATACAGCTGTGCGCAGTTTCCAGAGACTCCGGCTTGCTTCAGCAGAGAGAAGCTCCGCCCACATTCTAATGGCTCGCATAATTGCCGGTGTCATGCCTTGAGTTTACCCCTACCATGAGATTACTCCCCGTCCTTCTTTAACCTGGCCCCGCGGAAAATTGCATTTTTGAAATAGAAAAATTGCAAAAAATTGCAAGGTAAACTGCCTAAAAATTGCCAAACAATTGCAACCTTCCCATCCCAGGCGCTTTAATGCGGGCTTTAACATTTTTAGTCTAAAAAACATGAAAATTTGAGTACCGGTAGCATAAAAACAGAACAGCCTTTTAAAAAATCACGACCCGCAATACAAATTCATCAAATGTTTTTAAATTAACAACATTTACTAGTGAGCATTTGCCAAATGGTGGGATACCTGGGTGTGACAAATGAGGTCCTAAATCAACTTTATGTAATAATTTTTTATTCCATATTAATTATATATATATAGCCTAATGATTGTTCTTTCAAGCTCAGTAACTGCCAAAGCTGTATGCAATGGTCTTGGTGTAATTCTGACTTGAATGACGAAAATAGCAAAAAGTTCGTTCACAACAATAATGACACAAATTTATGAATACTCAAAGTTCCTTTCTTCAGGTAGGCTGAGGTTATATTTTGAGACATAGCAAGCAACTTTCAAAAATACATAGAATTGACACATTATAAAAATGTTTATTAATTTTTTATAAAATTACTTTTTTATGTCATAATAGTTATGAACGAACAATAAGTGACAAAAAAAACTATCAATTATGTCAAGTTTCATTGACTATACAATTGTCTAAAATAACACTCTGGTCCAATTATAGTCAAGTGATAAATGAAAGACCATTTAACAGCTATTTTTAAATGCTAACTGGTCATAGGGCACGTTATGCATAAATTTTAAGTTCTAAATTTTAAGTTTAAATTTTTAATTATGACACACCGTTTAGTTCATAACTATTATGACAAATTTTACTTTGGGCCCCAAAAATTAACTTATTGTTCTGTCTTTCACATAAAATGGTTTTCATTTTTATGAGACTCTCCTTAAAATATGATATTCCTCTATGTAGGAAGAATTCAAAGTTTATTTACTGTAAAACCCTTAGAATACCTTTAAAATGGTTCGTTCATAACAATTATGACAAACTTCAATTTTGATCTAAAAATTAATACATTTTGATCTGTCATTCATTTTTAAAAACTTTTATTAAATGAAATTTGTCAACTTTATTTCATTTTTGATTGGCCGAACCACCACCAGCCTCCCCCACCCCCTCTCAAAGTGGACACAACTCTAATTCTAGTCAATACTACTCATTTATTTCTTGTGTTACTATGAAACCTTACAGTTAATTAAAAATTGTTAGTAAGTTAGTAAAAAGTAAGTTTATTCAGTGTTTAAGGCCATTGGCCCACATCACATCTCATAAAACGCTCATTTGATAAGTAAAGTTTTCATAATGAATAAGTACAGGTTGTACACATATATACTCTTATCATGGGTCAAACATTGCATATTTCTGTCACTGGGCCGAGTCAGGCTGGGAGGGATTAACAATTTCCTTTGATGGACAAAGTGTGAGCAATAAAAAATAGGTGTAATTCATCTTCAATTTCATGACAATTACACCTCTCATAAGGGCGAATTAAGTTAATTTCCACCGATAGAGATGTGAATCCTCGGAAGAACTTAAAATTGTTAGCAATCAATCATAGACATGGTCACTCTGTTGTGAATGTGCATGTGAGTTGAACATTTGCATGCAAAAATTACCTATAAGATAAGGAGATAATTGACTTTTGAGGATTAGTTTGTCTGACATAAACGAAAAAAAACCCCAACCCTTTAAGTTTCGAAAACAGTGGTTTAAATTCCCCTTAATATAGAAAACCAAAGGGTGACGGAACCTTTTAAGTTGGCCTGGAAAGGGGAGCCCTGCACCCCAACAAACACTTGACAATAAAGAAGAGACCTAACCATAACCCTGGCCTAACCCTCTATATATTTCGTTGTGGTTGCTCAGCTTCGGAATTTTTCCTGAAGTGGATTGTATCAGGAGCAGACATTAGATATTCAAACATAATTCGTTAATTTTTAGGAGACTGTAAAAAATATTTTTATTCCACAGTTTGGATGTACAATTTGAGGCTTTACTGCTGGCAAGGAGAGCTGTCCATCTGATGCCAAATTCTCATGTCGCCCAGGAAACATTTGAAAATCTATGCTGCCATTTGGTGGAGCGCTGGCATTTTGTTATGCTGAATGACAAGTCAAGAAACACAGCTTATCAACAAGCTATTGAGTTTGTTTTGGAAAGTGACAAGCCTGGACTCACAGTCTGTGATATTGGTTGTGGCACAGGGCTCCTCAGGTACATTGTTTTTACCACTTTCACTTTGATGAGAGTTAAAAGTATTGCCAGATTTTTAAGTCTCTACAGGGTTTGATGTGAACATGGAAGAGTCAATTTTGTATTCTGATTTTTAAAAATGTCATTTCAAGTTTTGAAGCTATCATTCCTGCACTATGTTATGCAGTGCAACTAGGAACGAACTTGTTGGGCCCAACCTTCAATTTCATTTAATCCAAATGTTCATTTATTTTTATAGCACTGTACAATGTGAGCTGCAAGTAGTGTTACGGTATTGGGCCTAGCATATGGCAACCTTTACTTCCACAGACCAGCACGCAATTAATTGCTTAGTTCCATGTCAAAGTTACCTTGTCTAGTTCAGTAATCAATGTGCAGTACAGTATATCTCAGATACAACAAACTCAAATTCAACAAACAATTCGGATTCAACGAAAGGAGATGGATTTTCCGCTTTTTTAAATTAATTAAACTAAACAAAATAACTAGGATTCAATGAAGACATAATGAGCTAATGGGGATTCAACAAAGCTGCTTGCTGAGCGAACATCCCCTGCTGATTTGGCTTCACAAATTTTTCACACATGCTCCATCTCCTTTTGTTAAATTTGAGTTTTCATTGAATCCGAGTTCATTGTATCCGAGTTTCACTGTTTATCTTATAAATGTTGAAGTGGTTCATCTCTTTGTCTCTGTTCAGACAAACTACTTGTTCCTGTATTTACTGTAACTTTCAAGATTTGGTAAAAAAGTCAAGACTATTTTTATCTGGTTTTTGCAGATTCATATTTCTAAGTATGGATGCTTTGTTTTCTTTCTCTGCAGCTTCATTGCTGCAATGCAAAGGAATTGCAGCAAAGTTTATGCAATTGATTGCTCCATCGTTATGTGCAAAATTGCCAAGGAACTTTTGACTTCATCAGACTTCCAGGCCAGCGTAGCTTCTAAAGTCACAATTGTCAATAAGATGTCTTCTGCTATGTCTGTCCCAGGAGATATGCCAGTGAAGTAAGGCGTATTTGTGTTTTTCCTGAAAAGTGAGTTTTACTGTAAGGTGTCACTTTTCATCAATATAAAGCAGATTATTTTTCAAACATTTAACCTAAGAGTGGACTGCCCTCTGCTGTATTTAATCAATTGTGAATGCTATGAATTCATGCTTTCAGGCCAGTTTTTGATAGGGTTATTGCGTCCTACATTTAGTTTTTTGCGCTTTTATTAGTGGATTTGGTTTTTTGGGGTTTTTTTCAGAGTTGCTGTCTAACGTGTTTTTAAGTTTTTAAAATAAAGAACTATTTATTGTAGATCTATATATTTCGTTATCTTTCGCAGAGCTGATGTGCTGGTCACAGAAATTTTCGATGCTGGACTTTTTGGAGAAGGAATTTTACCCACTCTTTGCCATGCATGGAATTATTTGCTGAAAAGAACAGACTCATCGATTGTGAGATAATTTTGACTAAAAAGTATTTGTTGGAAAATAATAGTTTTTCTAACAGTTAGCAAAATCATTTTACCTTGATGCCTTTCTCTTTCTACTACATGAATACAGTTGTAGAAATATAATATGTATACTTCAGCTCAGTTGAAGTATTGTAATAGCCTTGAAGACTAGGTGCAAGTAATGATTGGAAGCTAATAATGATATTGATGTGCCGAGTTCTACCTGCACTTTCTCATTCATACACTCTCACACATGATGCCTGATGCACTTCAGGTTTTTTAAAAATAGTTTTATGTAGGCCCCTATATCAGTTTATTTTGTGGGATTTCTCAGAATAAAGAGAAGAAAAAAAAGAAAAGAAAACTACCAGTGTTATTTTTGCCATAAGGAAGATTGGGCTGCAAAGATAAATGCAATACATGAAATGGATTTAGAGATGATCTTAACACATGTTACACAAATAAAGCAGACAAACAATTAAATGCCTCATTGTTTTTCTTTGCATTGTAGCATTCCATTTCTTTCGGCTTGGGTTATCTTTTTCAATATCAAGGACATACCAAGTCACATTCCACCCATTTGCCATTTCTCTGAGACTTCTTAACATTATTTATGAGTTGAACTCACTTATCACTAAATTTTTAGAATCCCTTTGAAATTCGTTTTTCTTTTTCAGAGGGCACAAGTTATACCACACAGAGCGACTTTGTTTGTTCAAGCTGTTCAGGCTGACCACATACAGAGAGAACACAGGTGGTAACTTGGGCTAATTTCAACTATTTGTTTTATGTCTGTAGTGAAGTGAATTTCATTTGAAAACATGTTTAAAATTAATTACTGGTTGTTTGTGTTTGGAAGTTCATGATGCTCAAGAACAGTCGAAATTGTCCAAGGCAGCCACCCATTGTCAAGGAGGAAAGTGGTTTTCTTAGACATCTGGACATCTTGGATAGTGTCATTATATATGTACAATCTTGGATAAAAGATACCAGGGGTGAAGTGGGAAATGGTTGTTTGTACAAGTGATTGTATTGGACTGGTGGATGTCAGAGTAGGTTTGATTGTAAACAGAAATTTGGCAGACCAAGAATCCGTGTCATAAAGATTTAGGGTTCAAGTATGGTCTTTTTGACTGTATATCCCCCACAATGGCAGAACTCATTTAAATCATGATGGATGGAAAACTCATGTGGATCCAACACCTGTTAGAGTCATAGATTTTTCTCTAATGCCTGATGTTAGATACTTTGGCTGTTCAAACTCTGCTCATAGTCCTGACAGTAAAGCCCAAAATCCACTTCATTTGAAGCACCAAAATTAAATTAGTTGTTTGAGCCCAAATAAACAGTTGGTCCATGAATGCAGTCGGAAAACTGAATATATGTCAATATATTATTTTGGCTTGCATAAATGACAAATCTTTAATTTAAAGCACCTTAAATTATTGAGATGCACATAATAATGGCCATGAGGTTTCTTTTCTCTCGTATACTTTCAGGTACCTCTTAAAAGAAAGTTCATTTGTACTGAAGTCTTGTGGAATAGCAATTTGCAGCTCTGTTGGTGTGTGCTGTTCTGATCCTTACACAACTTATGACCTCAAGAAGATAGCCGGAGGTTACAAACCATTGTCTGCTCCGACAAAATTCATGGAAGTTGACTTTTATGATCTTGAGGTAAAGAAATCTGAAATTGTCATTTCCGGTAAAGGAAGCATTTGAGAAATTTTATATTTTTTGTAATGTTAGATTGAAAAAATATTTGAGACTTGGTTTCAGGTTTGAATCTGTTTATAGTCAGCCACAGACTTGTTTAATCATATGAAGATATAGTTGTACTCAGGTATATTGGGCAATTTTGGAGGCATGTTTAATTAACATTTTTCCAATCCTGAATTTCATACCGCTTAGTATTTTAAGAGACCCTTTAAGTATAAAGGGTAAACTGAAAGTTTACTTTGTTTGAACAATCCAGGAATAAGTTAATCTCACAGCCTGATCCAGACCCAATTCATGAGAGTGAAGAAAATTCCATTTATTTCTAAAACAACAACACTCACAATCTTTATTTGTCTCTCAGGGAAAAAATTTGTCTTGGTCAATAGCATTGATATTACTATGTATAAGTGCACTCTCGCATACACACAAGATAAGGTATATATTTATGTTACATAATGAAACAGTGAAACACCTCTGCTCCCTAAATACGCAAACACACCTACTCTCTCTCTCTCTCTCTCTCTCTCTCTCTCTCTCTCTCTCTCTCTCTCTCTCTCTCTCTCTCTCTCTCTGAAACAG